TTGATCCCTTTTTCTGGCCTTCTGAAATAACAGTCATAAATAAATTGCCTCACTCTAGGTATGTAGAGTGTACTTCTTCAGCAATTCAAAGCCTCTTGCTTTTTAGGAAATTATATCCCAACCATCGAAGAACTGAGATAGACCATAGCATTGTAACAGCTGCCCGTTACCTTGAAGAGACACAAAAACAAAATGGTTCATGGTTAGTTTCAGTTTCAACTCCATTCCTATCATTATCTTGCAAGCCATATGCACATAACTTGTCACATTCATTGGCTTTTGATAAAATAGGTATGGTTCCTGGGGAATTTGCTACACCTATGCCGCATGGTTTGCTGTAGAAGGGCTGGCTGCCTGCGGCAGGACCTATCACAATAGTCCTACTTTGCGTAAAGCTTGTGAATTTTTATTATCTAAGCAACTACCAAATGGGGGATGGGGAGAAAGTTACCTTTCTTCCCAGAATAAGGTATGGTCTCTTCTCTTCAGACCTTCTGGAGCAACAAAAGAGAACAAAGTGTATGTGGTTCTTTGTGACCATGAAACAATGAGATCAAATTTGTGATTTTCTAGCGTATAAGAAATTCTTTCAAAATGACATTTGAAATATAGGTGTATACATACCTAAAAGGCGACCGCTCAAACTTGGTACAAACAGCATGGGCTTTATTAGCTCTCCTTCATGCTGGACAGGTTAGTATAAAATCTCCTGTTCTACCCAATTGCCAAATGTTTTGAGTACTGTTTTACATTTACGAAGGTCTCAAGATATTATCAAAACACATGAAAATTGAAAAAACTGTTTTTCTCGTTTTCGGTTTTATTGTGCTGAATTATGTACATGAAGGCTGAAGTAGATCCTACCCCAATTCACCGTGGAGTCAAACTCCTCATAAATTCACAACTGGAAGATGGTGACTTCCCTCAAGAGGTAATCCATGAAAAAGTGCAAGGACACAACAACTAAATGTTGCTATTTCAAAAAATAAAAAATAAAAAAAAGAAGAAGAAGAAGGAATAAGCTAAACAGCTTCCTTTCTAACTACAAAAGTCTATGTGTGATTGCAAACAGGAAATTACCGGAGTAGTTATGAGGAATTGTTTACTACACTATTCATGTTACCGGATCGTATTCCCCATATGGGCACTTGGAGAGTATTATTCTGTGTTCTTCTTGCATAAATCTAAAAGGAATAGGATTTAATGTACCCAACTATGATGTACTTGTGCCTTTAACGTGATATAAGAGAGGTGTATGATCTTATGTATTCTTCTCAATAAGAGCTGAAAAATGTATTAGAATAAGGCTTAATTTAATAAATCATTAACTAATTTTCATATTCTTTTCAGTTTTATC